AAAAAAAAAAAAAAAAAAAAAATTTAAAAAAAAAAAAAAAAAAAGAAGATATGCTAATGTTAATATGAAACCCAATTGTTGAACATCCAATTCCAATCTAAATTGTATTTTCTTTCTGACTCCACAGGCTTCAGATGTATTTGTTATTATGGAGATTCCTATCTAGAATTTCGGAATGTGTTGTTAAGTCCACAAAGTAACATTTCACTAGAATTTCATACCTTCAACTCCTCTGGACTCCTGCTCTATATCAAGCAAGACTCAAATTCAGCAGATGAGTTTTTTATTCAACTATTTATTGAAAATGGTACTTTAAAGGTAAGCCATTATATTCTATTTAAAGGAATTTTAGAAAGTTCTTATTCTTTGGTGGTTATTATCAAAATAAAACTGTATCTTAAATAAATCTTTTATAATCGTCACTAGGCTGTGTGTTCTGTTTTGTAATTTTTTGTGTTTACTATTTATATATCAAAATAGTATATACTTTGAATAGCTTTCATTCTCTGCTCTTTATTTTTAACCTTTATCTGCTGTTATGTTTCCAAATATCCTAGTGATGATAACTGCTACCATTTTTTATAGCTTTAATGGAATATGTGATCTGGGGAGCCCAAAGATTTTTTTCAGAGGATCCTTAAGGGAAAAACTATCTTCATAATACTGTTGTTTGCTTTTTCCACTTTCATTCTCGTATACAGTGGAGTTTTCCAGAGACTGCATGGCATGTGATGATGTCATCTTTCTGATCACTAATGTAATGTGTACTTCCACATTTTTGTATTTTAAAAATGTCTGTTTTAATTTTAATATTATAAATACTGGTAAACAAAAACTCTTTGGGTCCTCAATAATTTTTAAGAGCACAAAGAGATTTTGAGATCAAAAAGTTTGAGATCATGGGTTTAACACTTGGTAATCTTTATAACAACCTCCTTTTAAAAGTCCAACATCGGGGCACCCAGGTGGCTCTGTCAGTTAATCATCCAACTTTGGCTCAGGTCGTGATCTCACCATTCCCGAGATGAAGCCAAGCATTGGGTCTATACTGGCAGTTGGGAGCCTGGAGCCTGTTTTGGATTTTGTATCTTCTCTCTCTCTGCCCCCTCCCCGCTCACATCTGTCTCTGACTCTCAAATATAAACATTAAAAAAAATTAAAAGTCCAAGATCACACAGCTAACAAACATTAAGGCTGACTTTGAGTTGAAAGTGTGTGCTCTTCTTTGAATACTGTTCTACCTTAACAAATCAACTCCTATTCCTGAGGTAAATACCCAGATTAAGGAAGTCATCCAAATCTCACTGCAATAAAGTAATTAACTCAACATAGCCTAATATATGAAATATAACACTGTATTTTATCTATCATTTCTTTTATGATGTGATTTAAATATGTGAATTTCCATGAAATAGTGAGTTATACCTTCTAATTTAAATAAGTCACATTATACCAGTTTGACTTTCTTTAAATATTCATCTTTCTTAAGTAATATAATATATATACATAATTTAGCACAAAGTCTGATATCATTAATAAAATATCAGCCAGATGTAGGCATTAGTAGTTGTAGCATTTTTACTCATTCATGCATTTGTTCACTCATTTATTGAAGATTTATCTATCACCAGGAACTTTGCCAGTGGTTCTGAGGTTTCATTGGTAAACATAACCCACTTTATTTTCCTCATATTGCTTCCAATTGATTACAGATAATAATAGGAACAGGAGTTTCTTACAGGAGTAAGAAAATAGAATTTTGTAATAAATAGAACACAGTAATTAATCATCAAACATCAGTATTAGCTTCAAGTTTGCTGATCCTGGCTCTACAGCATTTTCCTCAACTAAGACCAGTTTTTTATTCTTATAATAAGCATAAAAAATATGGAGACCAATATAAAAAATTATAAAACACATAATATTGAGCATTGGTCATGTTCAAAATGTTTCCCCTCAGCACAAATTCCTGCTGCAAACTCCCATTAACTGAGTGTCTCTGTCAGTTAGTTCCTCTCACACTGTGGACATCTCCATAGGCATTTTGAGGAATTACCAGAGACTTGCAGGATTGTGGGTGAAATATTTTATGAAATAATGACCGATGGAGACTCACTTTCAGATGGATAAAAATAAATTCACAATAGGTTGAATCAAGACATCGAGGAATTATAAATCCATAATGGAAGAAAAGATTTGTGGAATTTATTTCTTTTAGATTTTATGACAAAGGATATATATTCATGTCTAAATAATAACTACTATAGTTTACTGAATTGAAATTATGTGTAAGACTCCATCTTAAGAAATGAATTAAGATGATCAGCTCTGGAGTTAGACTCTGAGTTTAGAGCCCAGCTCTCCCACTTAGGAGCTCCGAGACCTTGCAAGTCACTTAAGCACTTTGTCCTTAAATTGACTCACTTGTAAAATGAAGGTAATAAAGACTGTTGCGAAGCTTAAATTAATAAATGAATAAATGTTGAGAAGTAAATGTAATATAATGAATAAATAAGTAAATGCATATAAACATGTAAAAGGATGTCTGGGACATATTAATCAAATGTGAGGGTTAGGTATTTTCTCTCTGCCTGTTGCAAAGATCCTGCAGACAAGCTAGGCTTCTCACATAGTTCAGTATTACACATGCTCTTAGGACTCTTTTAAGAATAGTAAGGAATTTTTACTTTGTTGTGTAAGTCCAAAATTCATGTTCTTCTCACATCACTGCTTCCTTGTGATGATTTAAGAGAAATTTCAGTGTTATTCTGTCTTCATGATTTTAAGATTTTCCTTGTTCCACTATGATTTGTGAGACTATGCTCCAATTTCTTCATCTATTTTAAAAGTATAATCATATGGGGAATGCACTTACATTACAATTTTCACAAAAAGACATATTTACGGTTGAACTTTTACAGTGATCATAATTTAAGATCTATTCTAGAAATGTAGAATTGTTAGTTTTTTTAGGAAATATAAGTTTTAGGAAAGTTTAATAATATGAAACTTAATTTTAATTTTTATTTTTTGTAACAATTTTTAAAAACACTTTACTAGCTCTTGAATAACAAGGAAGTAAGTGCATACATAATATCCATTGTTGGTACTCAGAAACCAGTCCGCAGACTTATTTTCTGTGTTGCAAATCACTGTGCTTCTCTGGCTAGTGGCAAACCTTAGTTTCCACCTCTGAATAATGGAGCTAATAAGAGAATAGTACCTACTTCATAGATTTTTGTTTTTTATTTTGTATTGTAAGGAAGCAATCAGTTGCTACTTATAAAGTGTTTTAAAACTCTATGATACTCAATCACTCAGTAGACAGTAGCTACTGTGTATATATGTCATATATATCTATATATGTCACAAATGAACTATTTATAATAAAAGAAAAATTCAAGTAAAAATAATAGAATGGTCCATTAAATATTTTATATATGTTTAACTTTGACAGCTTTGAAGATAAAAGGGAATTATTAACATCTTATCATTATATCATTAAAATGATAAAATATGCTATACATTTAAATATACTATTTAACATATTTCTTAAAGCCAACTGATACATAATTTTGTAAAGGAATTTTTTGCAATGGCCAAATATCATAAAATTAAAATGGTATAATTTTTATCTTTGGACTACGTGTGGGGTTTTAGGTATATCAACTTTAATATAGCTAGATGCACAAGAATTATGCAACACTATGCAACTGTGTTTCTTTAACTTATACGTGAGTTACTGATTTCTTGTTGATATGATACACCCCTTTCCGGAAAAGGATGGCTGTACTGTAACTAATATATGTGCAGGTACATGCTGTTAGAGGGTGATTAGACCACTGCAGCCTACTTGTGGAATTCGCGGGGTCCTGATCAAATGTACCTGTTGTAGACATGATCTGTCCCCTTTGAAAATATAACTTGGCTCAATTAGTAGTAACCCTAAAAAAAACCCCACCCCCCGCAGCCTCAGAAAGCTTAGAATAAATGGTTAGCTTCCATAATCTTTATGGTTTTCTTCCTTGGACTTTAACATCACCCTCTACACTGTATTCACTGATCTTCATGTTGCTCAACTGGTAGTATGTAAGGAAGCTTGCTGATAATACTCATTTTCTGCTAGTAGAAAAAGCTGCTTTCTCAACCATGTTCCCCAGAATATTGGAAGAGAAACCAAAAGTGTGTGTGTGTATGTATGTGTGCATGTACACATAATGTGTGTGTGTGTGTGTGTATTTATATGCATATATATAATACTTATACATTTATGTATTTTAATTCTAGCCTTTATTAGTTATATGCCTTGAATGTTCACATCTCTTTAAGTTTCAGACTCTTTGTCTCCAAAGCAATATAAATTTTATTTGTAAATTATAAGTCCATTGCAAATATTATGTGTTAATTTCATTGTGAAAAGCTGAAGGAAACTTTTTTTTCCTATAGTACCACTTTTTCTGTGCTGGTGAAGCAAAATTGAGAAGCATTAACACTACTATTAAAGTGGATGATGGACAAAAGTATACACTGCTTATCAGGTAATCGATACCTATTTTGTTGGAGACTTACAATTATTATAAGTAACAAAGACTGTTCCTTTGGATGTTGTTTTTGCCTTTTAAAGTCGAGGTTATCCCGATTAGTATACACATGCACTTGAATGTGAATTAATGTTTATCAAGCCATTCTGTCTTTTCTCTATGTCCTTAAAATAGTACCGAGGAAAGAATGTTATAGGGGTTATATTATCTATGAAATTACATAAGCGGCTTTACAAAGAAGTCATGAAAGCTTCATAGTATTTTCAAATTAGAGAAATCATAAAAAGCAAATAAAGTGGTATTTCTTTTGATAAGCAAAGTTAAACATATTCACTGTGGAAAATTTGGAACATCCAGAAATACATAAAGAAGAAATTTAAAATTATTCTTTATATCACAGTCAAGATAGAATAGTGAACATGTATTGCTCTATTCCCAAAAGCTGTGTTTGAAGGTGACTCTCTCCCCAAACCCTCACCAATATCAGTATAATTTTGCCAATCTGGATAAGTAAAAATGATATTTTCCCTTAATTGTCCTTCTTTGACTTATGACAAAGCCTGTTTTTTTAATATAGGATTAATACCTTTATATTATGTGTTTTGCCTCCCTCCATTGTTTTTTTTTTGTTTTTTTTTTTTTACTTATATGGTACTTTAAAAAACATACCACCATCCTATTCAGTATGGAGACTAATATACGTTATTTGGTTACAACAGGACATGATTATTTAGTAATAATAATTATCTGTTTAAAGTCAAAAAAGAGGAAAGCAAAAAGGCTAAAACAGGGATGAGGAAAGAAGTTATTTGGAAAGTTTTAAGGATGTTGTACTCTCTTTCAGCCAGAACTTTCCAAATTCTGTCCTCGAAGCATTTCATATTTTTTAGAAAACTGACCAAAAAAAAGTATTATCAACTAAATTGAGGAAAGGCTACATGACATATACCACCTTTGACTGCTCAAAATGCACAGGAGCTTTTTAAAACCTCTAAGATACATTTAATAAGGTCTTACTTGCTTTGCTTAACTCAAAATACAAGCGCAGAACCCTTTAATATTTTATTAACATTTTAACCTTTGAATAGTTAATGTTGGGGGCAATGCACTTTGGTAAGTGCCATCTTAGCTGAGATAACAATATTTCTGAGCAGAGACTACCATCATCTGGAGGGAAAGCAGGTATATGAGCATTAGGGCTGCAGTAAAAATCAGTTATAAAAGACATATTTTAGCTCCTGAAGGAAACAAAGACAGATGAGAAATGATGTGAAAACATTTTCTGGACTGGGGTTTGTTGAAAAAGAGTTTAAAAAATCATTGAAGACACAGAAATCATACTTAAAGTTTATTAAACACCAATAATGTGTCAGGTGGTAATTTTATAACATGAATTTATTTATTGTTAAGAACAATTCTTAGTATTATCTGCATTTTCCACATGCAAAACTGACAGATTAAATACAGAAAAGGACATAGTTTTAAAAAATGGCACAATACCAAGGCTGCTCTTATTCCAAAATGAGAAGGTGTCTTTTAAGGTATAGACCCTATGATCCATGATGTAGAAACATAATATGATTTGGTTTCTTAATCCTAAAAGAACTGCTGTATAGTCAAGATAAGACAAAGATAAGAATTTTAGGGGTCCCTGGGTGGCTCAGTCGGTTAAGCGTCTGACTTTGGCTCAGGTCATGATCTCACAGTTAGTGGGTTTGGGCCCCGTGTTGGGCTCTGCGCTGACTGCCAGCTCAGAGCCTGGAGCCTGTTTTGGATTTTGTATCTCCCTCTCTCTCTCTGACCTTCCCCTGTTCATGCTGTCTCTCTCTCTCTCTCAGAAATAAATAAAACATTAAAAAAATTAAAAAAAAATTTTTAAGTGACCTGCCCAATGAAAGACTAATAGCAGTAAGAACGATATTTGCACATATTAAACAGCAAGTAGCTATAACTAATCATAATGAGATTCATAAAGCCCATCATATTGGTTTGGTCAGGCTGCCATAACAAGTAGCACACATTGGCTGCTTAACCAACAGAAAGTGATTTTCTCATAATTTTGGAGACTAGAAGCCTGAGATCAAGCTGTCAGCAGGGTTGGTTCTTTAGAGAGCTCTCTGCTTGGCTTGTAGATGGTTGTCTTCTCTTTGTGTCTTCACATCATTTTCCTTGGTGTATATCTGTGTCCTAAATTCCTCTTTGTATAAAGACATCAATCATCTCATTTTAAGTTCTTACCTCGTTAAAGACCCCATCTTCAAATATGTCACATTCTGAAGCACTGGGGGTTAGGACTTCAACATATGAATATTGCAGTGGACATAATTCAGTCCATAACATTCATTTGCATATTTGAAGATGAGGCTCAGAGAAGGTAGACATCTTTCTCCAGATCACATTGTTAGACAGTAGGAGGTGTTAAAAAATATTCAGCAAAGTAAATTTGAAGATCTGATTGGCCTTATTAAATGATTCTTGAATTGGGCAGCATCCCATCTAGCAAGTAGAGGGAGTTTTTGCTGAGATATATATTTTTTTCTTTTAGAGAGAGCGAGTGTACCTGTGAGCTGAGGAGAGAGTTAGAGGGGCAGGGAGAGAGAGAATCTTAAGCAGGTTCACACTCAGCACGGAGCCTGACATGGGGCCTGATCCCATGATCCTGGGATCATGACCCAAGCCTAAGTCAAGAGTTGAATACTCAACCTATGGAGCCACTCATGAACCCCAAACAAAAGAAAGATTTTTAAAGGCAGAGAGAAGGCATTAAAAAAAGGAATTTATTAGCAAGGAATATATTGTTTAGGCAAGGTTACCCTCCAAAGGGGAATGGAAAGGGTCTATCAGTAAATTTCCTAGTATTGACCAAGATATTACATGTTGACTGCTTAAAGATTATATTTTCAGGGAATTAAAACTGCAGTTAGGTTAGGTATTAACTCTGCTGACTTGGCCTAAGTGATGCCATTTTTAGCCTGTGGTTTTCCTTTTAACAGAGGGCAAGATTAGAACCATGATCTTCTGCTTTCTGACCTGATCATTTTTTTCTACTCTAATATGTCCAGTTAGTGTTTTAAAAGTGACAACATACTATTTAAAATCTTCTTTAAAAGAAGCATTAAGGGGCCTCTGAGTAACTTGGTAGGTTAAGCATCTGACTTCTGTGATGTCACAGTTCATGGGCTCGAGCCCCGCTTGGTCTCTGTGCTGACAGCTCAGAGCCTGGAGCCTTCTTTGGATTCGGTCTCTCTCTCTCTCTCTCTCTTTCAAAAATAAATAAATATTAAAGCATTTTTTAAATAAAAGAAACATTAAATGTAAAACATTTAAAAATCCTAAGAACACATACTTTACACTGTCCTCATCACAAGTAACTTTTGAAGATATTTAACAACTAAAAAAATCACTTTCTTTTTATGTTCTATGACATTATTGCAACTTACCTACAATTGTTGCTTTTAATTTTTATCAAATAGTAGTTGATAATCTGTTTGTATCTGTTTTAAATTCTCTAAATTCAGAAATATTTCTTCACAAGCTTTTGATTTATTTGAAGCAAGGCAATTTATACAAAAATGCTTTTGTCTGTGATTATCATCTATAAAGAACAACAGTGGGTTTCCATTAATTTTATTTTTCTATACCTTTAAAATATACTTCTAGATGTAAAAGGGAAAACTTATCTGTAATTTTAAGTTTAACTCAATTCAAGAATGCTGTCATCAATAATTTTTTTAACCATTAACATACTCTTTAAAGATAAATGGCATTCACACGTTTGACTTCCAGATCTACACTCTTTTATGTTGTTTCTGGTGAATGACATTACCCATTGAGTATGAATATAGGTGAAGCATCTTTCCTCACATGCTCTTATGGAACTAGAAGAAAAAGAATAGCAAGGTTGCACTCAGCCCATGATGAAGTGCTCTCACAAAGAGTGAAACAAATATGCTCCAAGAAAAAGTAACTGAGCTCATTATTTTTTACAACAAGGAAAGACAGAGTGTTCTGCAGAGCAGCATGGCCCTTTTAAAAAAGAAATGTGGATTGCTTACCTTAACAAAAAGCAGGAAGGAAAATATGGAATGTTGAAATCAGGTGAAACATACACTAGTATAATAAAGATACTAAGGAGTGCTTATATTAAAAACTATTTTAGTGAGAAATTAGCAATAGCTGTTACTTATTTTTCAGTGGAAGAAGGGAAAGTGAAAATGGGACCAGGCAGTGATATTAGGCTAGTGAACAACAGCATACAGCATACCAATAGGAAAAGAAACACAATAGGTATCCATTTGTTACTCCACTCCTGAATACTGTAGAGGTATTTATTTAAACATAAGGTGCTGAGAGAATCTAAGATAGTGGTGCATGTATTCTCAGGCAAACCCAAATCTGAGAGTGTGATGTAGCATTTTATCCACATCTATTGGTATATTTACCATAATTATGTATTTTCTATTAATTAAATACCTCATGTACCAGTGTTATAAACATCATTGCATATATTACATGATTATATCTCTTATTATATATGATATAATTGTATGTTAATACATTATAGTATTATAATAATAGAGTTTGCATTTAATGTATGTATGTATATACTTTATGGGACTTTTCCTTTAAAGCCCTACTTAATATTTACCTTTGTTTTTGGAAGGAGATAGGATTTGGGAATCAAAAATAGAAATAAATCAGGTTTTTCTTACCTCCTCAATTATGGGCCTTAAAAGTTTTTTTTTTACATGCCTGCCAATTAAAATATATATCCCTGGGGCGCCTGAGTGGCTTAGTCGGTTAAGCGTCCGACTTTCGCTTAGGTCATGATCTCGCGGTTCGTGGGTTCGAGCCCCGCGTCGGGCTCTGTGCTGACTGCCAGCTCAGAGCCTGGAGCCTGTTTCAGTCTGTGACTCCCTCTCTCTCTGACCCTCCCCTGCTCACGCTGTCTGTCTGTCTCTCTCTCCCTCCTAGAAATAAAAATAAAACATTAAAAA